AGTATATTATTTTTCCAGTAATATCAGTTGAACGAATGCTTTTGAGCTTTATCCAAAATAAAATCCGTAATAGATTAGGAATCGACGTAAAAAATTAATTAATTTTTGTCACAAAATATTGAATAAATGCAAACTAGATCTATACTAGTAAAATTTGTAACACCGTTACTATTATACTTTCTTCATAAAATTACAAATTAATATATAAAATGTAATAAAATATATTTTTTCTCTAAAATTGTAAAAATGTGTTAATTTAAATTTAAAAAAACCTTTATTATGAAGTATTCTATTATTATTGGACGTTTTTCTTTAAACTCGTGAATAGTATAACATGAAAAACAAATATATTTTTTAGTACTATACTTATTAATTATTTTTATAGTTTTTTTTTGCCAGTTTATCCCGTTGGATAAAATATGGAATTTGCTATAGTTTTTTCAATTCACTGAATTTTTTCTGCCAATCCTAGTTTTTGAATAATAAACAACCTAGAATATTTTAAACGTATCTAGAAAACTTTAATAAAAAGCTGTAAAATATTTTCAAATAATATTATATTACTGTTGGTCAATACATGAGATGACAATGAAAAATATTGCAAAAGTATATAACTTTTTTGTTTTAGAGATTTGTTTCTTATAGTTTACTTAAAACTATACTAGATTGTAATTTGTATCATTCTTAGTACATTTTATTAAAACGAAGTATTATGTAACATAATAATTTTTATCAATAATTAATTTCATAATATTGACCCTCCCAAACTGATAGATGATTTCATCAAACTCACTCAATTATAACCTTCTGGAGTCATAACGATGGCTCTATCGGACCCACTCAATTATATTCTTGACGACACATTTGTAAATTTAAATTATTATTAAAATAAAGTTTAATATTCGTTTTTTTATATTAGTTATGTCATTTGGATTTATTAAAATTAATAAGTACTTATTTTTTTAATCAATAAAAATTAAGTGAGTTTCACAGATCCAACATAAGTAAAAGTGATTTGTTAGTTTCAGAATATTAAACGCAAGCGTTTATATTTGAATAAGTAATTTACAACTAGAATGTAAAATGTGAAAATATATTAAGAAGTTTGATGTTTCTCAATCATCCTTGAAGGATGGACCAGGCTCGAACCAGAATGTCTCGCTGGTTTACACGAATTCAGACGAGCATTCGCATTCGGAGGAGGTAGCGAAATTTACCGTGCCAAAGCTTACGAAGAAATGGTCGAAGATCGTCATTAAGGTTTCCACGAGCGACGTCATCTTATACCTCAATTGCCACGAGATGGCCCGGCAGAAAGTTACCAGGATCCCTCAAGAATTAGTATTCGATACCGCCAGCACTCTATACATCGCACAAGCCGGACCGCACATCCAGGAACGATATGACGTGAGTACCGTGCACCGCCTTTCGACTATCGTTTTTCAAAAAATAAAAAAGTGGACGCCGCGAGCGTTCGTGCGTGGCGCAACGAAACGAAATGAAACGAGTGGCGCTTGTTGGCACGGGGTATGTTTTCGGCTGAAATCGACATAGTTTCGCTTTGCAGCCGAGTACGCGTAACGAAGTAACGTGAATAAACAGGTTCACATGGATCGAGATGCAGTCCTTTTTCGGACTATGACTCAGCTGACATGAAACAGGCAGTTCACGCGAAACGCTCGCAATATGAGCGACAGTGTAAGGCGGTCGTTTCATTTCGTCAAGCCACGTATATTTCCCGAACTATTCCATTTTCGTCTCGTTTCGAATACATCGGTAAATTGATCTCATTTGTCGGCAAATGCGCTAATTCATTAAAAATAAATCGGAAGACATATTTACATTACCAAAACCTCTTTTATATTCGAATGACCGAACTAAAAATAAATTTTATGCATTTCGAGTAATTAATTTGAATTTTGTATATAATTCACATTTTCTTTCGATCTCATTATCGATATCATAATTTATTTCACATCGAGACGAGAATGATTCGTTCGGAAATTCATATAATATATATATATATATCGAATTTTCTTTTTATACATTTATCGTATAACTGTTTCACGAGTTTCGTCGTATTAAAAAGACCAGTCATAAACTTCAAAATAAAACGGACGGCCGTGGAATTAAGAGCGGCAAATCGTAGAAGTAAATCCGTGCCGTTCCATCCTTTAAGAATTTAATACCATATCCAGTATCCTGATAAAATAAGTAAAAAGCGAGAGAGCGAGCTAAAAGAGAGAATGGTACGAACGTGGAAAGTACCATCGGATAACGGGCATAGGTTCTAGAAGAAGTGGAATGGATACGAAATACCTCATCGAAATCCTATATATTGACGTTACAGAGATCTGTTGTCTCGGTTTCCACTATTGCTCTCTCAAAGAACACTCAAGTGGTTCGCGAGACATCGCACACAATGAAAATCGAAAGATTTCCGCTGCTCGCCAATACGTCGAGTTTGAGAACAGCAATTTGTGATCGAATTACATAAATCAAAATATACGTAGGTACACACTTTGTGCTATTATGTATCTTTAGCATTATTTTTTTCTTATCGCGCGCGATATATTCGCATTCCCATAAATATCAAATGTCCTCCTTTTTCCCAACGACTTCGCGCCAAGCAACCCGACTATACATTTTGGAAACTTATCAAAAAATAAACTAACGCTTTATTCTGTAAAAATTAAATAATAATAGAATCGGAAATCAAACTTAGATCTTCCGTTTGATAGATGACTACTCTCGATCAAGTTATTCGGTATTTTACAATAAATCATAATATATAATTATGTATTATGTATTTTATCCATAATAATAGATTATTATTGCAGTAATTTACACATAATTATTGTATATCACATAATAATAATAATAATATCAAATATTAGAAGATTTTACGTAACAAATCATTGTATCAAGTTATAAAGTCATTATGAGGATACAAATAATATGAACAATAAAGTAAAACAAAATAAACGCGGCTTTATTGTCAAAAATTTGAGATGAGACCAATACAAATTTTTGGCAATAAAGCCATTGATGTATTCATATGAGGCTGTGCATTTATACATCAATCGCAACAGCATTCTTAAGGCAATAATACTTTATGTAGAATTGTATTTTATTTCAAATAATTAATATCGTTCAATCTGAGAGTATTTATGCGTCAGCCCTTTAGTATCTCCATATCGTATTAACAGCGAGGACATAGCGTGATTACATATCATTGATATGAGAGAGGATAATTAGTTCTCATCCTGACGCAATATGATCAGCTATACAGAGACCACGTGTTGCGTAAATCGATGCACGAAATGCATTGATTTATTCGATCCTTCGTTAATTAGTTAGTCTCGACAATAGGCAGATGTATTGCAATATTTCGAATTGATTATGCAATGTCGCTTTTATCTTGCGACGGCCATTTCTCTTGCAGCAATTAATTTATGCGTTAAGTTAATAAAATAAAATTGTGCGGAATATTTGTAAATTTTTCCTATAAGTTTTGAATTAATATTAAATTACTGAAATGAGATTTGTACGCATTAAATATAATAATACAGTCCCGATATACTTTTATGCAGACAAGCACAAAGACACCATTTCCAACTTTACGAGCTGCTTATTAATTTCATAAGTACTATTAAAGAAGCTTACTTTGCAAAGTCGATAATTATCGGTTATTTTAGCGATGCGAGAAACTTTTCGTTTTATATTATTGCGTCAATTAGTAACATAAAGAAGAGACATCGCAGAATATTGTTTCATATTTCCATGTCAAATTACTCAGGAATTTTATCATTTATTTTATACCGTTTTTTAATGCCAAAGACGATAATAAATGTAAAATTGTTTTGTAATGTGATCTACCCTTTTAATTATTTAAATGTGAATAGATAGCAAACAGTCTGAATAGTAGTAAGTATATTTGATATTTGCAGTTTATCGCGTCATAAAATTTTTAAAATAACAAATTTATTCAGATATATATTATATCGGAAATCTCTCTCTCCCATAAATGCAATTTTAATTTCATTGTAATTAGGTCATGACCGTCTTGATATCTAATGTGTTCGCATAAAATATGTCATATACTTGATACAGTTTTTATAATACAGTGTTCCATAAATTTCGCGTAATGAATTTACTTCGAGATAAAGATCTTAATACGAAATTGTTAAAGGTTCAAGCGTTTAAGCATACAAATTTTAAACAATTTTGATTGATCAATTATGAATCAAATTATGTTCTCATTAAGACATTATTATAATTTTAATATTTTGGTATTATAGGATCGTTATAAGTAGCAATTTTTATGTCCAAAATAGTTCAAAATTAAAGAATCTGCTATTAATTGTTATTATGCAAAGTCTGGGTCACATTCTGCATATTTAGAATTCTTACACTTTTATTTTTGTACAGTTTTCATATATCACGAAATACAAAAACGGTACTTTATGATTAATCTATGTGCAGGTATATAAAATAAAAGCTATATATTATTATTATAATTAGATTTCGCTCATTTTTTTGCAATGTAAAGTATAAAGAAACGACGGTCTAAATCGAGCGGTAAAAAGATTTTTTTATATAAAATAATCTTCGCGTTTTTTTATATAAAATAATTCTTCGTGTTACTTGTAATATTAAAAAATTCATATTTATCTTTAGACTGCAATTGTTCTTTAATTGATTGACTAATTAACGTAAAAAAATTATCAAACTTCTTCAGACATCAACAGAAAAACTGTACTGAAGATAAAAATGCCCGAATGTACGAGGTGAAAAAACGTTCGTGCGATTTTCGCGATCTGTTCAACTTTTCTTGCAACGAGCACACCGGGACGGACTTGCATCGCACCCCGGAGACATTCTTATCGTGAATCCACTGTCGTTTCAGTTTCACAACGTCGCGCTGTTTCCCGCATCTCCCACGCCGGACTTTTTCGCGTCTTCCCGGAATAACAATACAACGGAAAAGTTTCGTGGTCATTTCGATCGGCACGATTCGCAAGTTCTCGCTGCTCCGCATGGGCTAATCTCTATAAATTGTGGCGATATGCTACCCGCCGCGCCGTCGACGATGGCGACTAGGTGTTTTGCAAGGTAGTAATTCCACAAGGAAAACGCGCCATCGTTTTCTCCAGAGACAACGTGACATCCGTACTTTATACAGCAGAAGAGCAACGGATTAACGTGACGGCTACGTGCACGAGCACGTGCGCCGTGATGCTTCGTCGAACAGCGTTATTTTTGAAAAAAAAAAAGGTGATCGACTATGGTATTATCGTTTGAAAATTTCTTCTGACATTTTTTCCCAGACGAATAGCTACTAACTTTTCACAGAGCACGTCATTATGTAAATTTCACAGATTTCTGTGGAAAAATGTTATTTTATACGTTTACATATAAAATAAAAAGAAAGACCCCGTCTGCTATAAATTTTATTATAAACAGAAGAAATGTTACAAAGCATTCATTGGGTTGCGAAATTACTTCTGTGGGATTTATGACGATGAGTAATTATCTGATGACGCCATGCGTGTCAAAAGCTTCTCGAAATTTCTTTCATAATTTTCTGTATTTTAATACTGATAAAAAACGTTATTTTTAGCGTTGACCGAATTTCACTTTACATTTACTCCCACAATTCTCTTACGTTCAGAAATTGATTTTTCTGTACTTCTCTTAGATAAATAATCTGCTGAGCATGTTACAATATTTATAATGGATTGCTGTTTGTTTAGAATAATTAAGTTTTTTCTTTGCGAAGCATCTGTTGCAAGTCATATCTCGGATTCAGTGAGCCACATATTAACAATAAAACACACATTTAAAAGTTATTATTGTACACATGGAAGAGAATATACATAGTGAGCTGTGCAAAGATAATATTTCAGTGCGGTAAATTACATAGGTGTCTAAAATAAAGTAACACAGAATATTTGTAAGTTTTAGAAAATAAATGGTTACGGAAATGTTACAACTTTCAATTTTGATTTGTTAAATACAGAGAAAGGGAGTTGTGAAATATTTTGTTTGATTGAAATAACTCTTACGGAAAATAGAGATATTTATAGGTGACATTTGTACAAGTTTATTAGCTGTAGAGTGATCGATTACGCTGCAGATAGAAGTTCTTCGTATAAGAACAAATATATTTACAAAAAAAACCGAAGAGGAAGAAAGTTACGGTTATGGTATAGGAGAGGGAGATATGAAATGTCATACTGACTGGTATATAGTGTAACGTTACGTGTTGGATACATGCACACATTTTATTATCAAATTTAGTTCAATTATGCCATTTGAAAGCGACGTTCAACACTATTAAATCTGTAGTGTCAAATTTAACCTAATTTGAGTTACTATTGCTTTTACTCAATATGTCGTCATTTTATACTGAAACAATAGATTAATTTCACACTACATAGTGTCAAATTTGCAATATCTACTAGACTCTATGTAATGTCACATTTATCTGTTTTAATATAAAATAACGATATATTGAATAAGATCAATGGCAACTCAAATTATAGGTGAAATTTAACACTACAGATTTAATAGTAAATGCTTTCAAGCTAAATTGAGATTACAAAGTTAATTATATTAATTATATACCTATCAAAATTATTCAAAAAGTACTCAACTGTAAAACTATCCACCTATAAAACTGCGAAATGTAACAATGTAGTAAATACTACTGACAGGTAGTTATATATATATATATATACATATTATATCTAAGCAGATTATAAAGTAATTTTGACGGCTGCCCCCAAAATGCAGCGCAAATTGTGTGAAATATCGTAATATTCCATATCTCTACTATTTATTCCATCTCCTTCTGCACTATTTGAAAATTTTACACATTTATTTGAACGATCCTAAGTAACAAGCAGTCGTTATGCCATTGTTTTTATCAAAATGATATCAGATTTTTATCTGAAACGCTTCTAATTAAGAAATATGTCGATAACGCACCGAATTTTAAATTAAAAATTGATAAAGATTTTTTTATTTCGTAGTTCTTGTATTTTATCTCGTCCATTGCTTCACGAAACTTTTATTTTCCTTCTTGGAAGTGATGAAAATGGAACATTCAGTCTTTTTTGGCGTTCGAAGGTATTTGAGCGAGCAAACTTATGGACGAATTATCGATCGTGTCTTTCCGTCAGCGGATACGATTGACTTCCGCGGAACCGCAGTTATTCCGAGTGTTTTGGGCAATTTTGCTGCGCGCACGGTTCATCTCCACATCGGCGTCCGCAATATGCGCGGTATGCTCGAAAATCCGTAATTAAGATCCGGTATGTACGCAACTACATATTTGTGCCGCTAGTATTTGAAAAGTTCGAGTAATACGAACAGATTCTACCATTGATTATTTCAGTATCTTACAAAATTGATAATAAAATCTGTTAAATAGCAGAAAGAACAGTTTTACTGAAATATTTAAACGTTTAGCTCGATCCGAAAATAATTTTGTGTGAAATGTCAAAATAATTACATAGTACATTCAACCTAGTTTCTAGAACGTTGAACATTTTTGCAAATTGTTATCAATGTTCTTAAACGTGCTATGATTGTTTTAATAATCTAACATTATTTTTGGATTTGTATCTACTTAAATTTTAAGCAAATCATTTCTTCCGTGTATACAATGATTCATAATCCGTCTTTTATTTTTCTTGTATAATATACTTATGTAGAAACAGTTTTAATGTAATTTTTGTGATTTTAAAAACAAATATTTTAATTTTGATTAGTTTAATTTCATATATCAAAAAATTGTATATATATAAATGAATAAAATAAAACCGTCGTAAATTATGAAGTAGGGCAGATCGATTCTTTTAAAAGATAATTTTAAAATAATAATAATAAATAAATATTAAATAATAAAAAACAGAGTTTTTTTTCTTAAGAATATTACTTTTCCTAAATATTCATATGGAACAATGTTTCGTTTTGTGGTCATGGTAACACCATGATATCACATACACTCTTTGCCTTGGAAATACGTCGCCTCTATATTATGTTAACACCGCGAAACTAACTTCTACGTGATGCTCAAATTTGCATAGAATTTACGTCGCTCTCTGTGAAGCGTCTGAGAATCGCGAAAAGAAAACAAATCTCGTGACGTGTCGTCACATCCAACTGTACGCGAGAATTACAGGATTTCAATTACGAGATAAGATATACCGGTTAAGAGAGGAGAGAGATGTGGATGGTTCCACGACGTAGAAAAACTCGTCGAAATAAGGAAGAAAAGGATTCCAACGTCCGTGCGCATTTAATGGCGCGATGAAAAAAAGGGCCATTAACCCCGCGCGGCCCCTTTAATTCTACCGTATTATTACAAACAGCAGCAACGTTACGAACAGCGGCGCGCGGTAGCGATGGGGTGGAGAGAAAAATTAGTACGTTGCTTCGCGGGAGGCGAATTCCGCGATAAGAATGCCCCGAGGATCTTCGCCGAGGTGAAACGTCCGTGCTGTTCCCATCCCCGTAAGGAGGGATATCCTCCGTGAAAGAGGATGCGCGGGGAACGGGGAAAACGTAACGAGGACGAAGTACACGTGCACCGTGCGCCAGCATAAGCAACTCCCGAGAACATGGAATATAGAGCTCTAGGAATAGCAGAGACTTGTTATATCATTTGGATAAAAGCTATGGCCGACCGGCCTCGTTTTCCTCAATGGGCTTTGATACAGAGCGTATGAAAGAAGAAAAGGCGGCGATCGCTTCTAATTGTAAGAAATTAATAGTATGCAGAAAATGTCAGATTCGTTATTGATAATTGAACGTCGTCGCTCAATTGAATGTCACGCAGAAAGTCCTTAAGTTTCTTTTGTTGAAAATTGTAAATTATTCGTAATGAATAGAAAGTAAAAATGTTAATTCTGTCCATATTAATTTAAATGCATATGGAAAGAACGATTTTACTGAAGTATCTAAAAACGACCTCGCACTAATTATGTAAAAAATTAGGTATTAGTGAGTTAATTTTTACATGTAGTCAAGGTTGAAAAGTAATGGATTACTTGTAACGCCATCGTTATCGTTACTTCTTTTTGTTCGTAACGGTAATGGTATAGAATATCAAAATTTTTTACAGCGTTGTTCATTACACTTGAATTTTTTACATGATTATTTTGACGGTCTAACAAATTCTTTTCAAACTCGTATCTATACTTACATTTTTAGATACTTGAGCAAAATTGTGCTTTCCGTATAAAGAATTATGTATGTAAGAGATTGTTAAAATTTTTTAATAGGTCAATTCAGATGAAAGAATTCTTAAAATAATTATATTGTTATATCGCAATATCGTTTTAGAGCAAAACATTCTAGAATTGCGAAGAGTAATAAATAAATAAACATTAATGAAGCTGATGTCCACTTTAACGAGCAATAATTTAGTCTAATGCGATATAACGCGTGTTTCAGTAATTGTTACGGCGAAGTCAACTTTCGGGGCAACAAGGCAATGACGACAACACCAAATTAAGATAAATCTATGTAGACATTGTGACAAATCGCTATATAGGCAGGCAGTTCTGATTAACCTTGAGCGTGATTTGTTTAACCGGCATTAATTAAAGAGGTGCCGCACAAGATATTTTTAACGATGGTTCACGTAGGTACCTTTGCTCTAGCTGGTCGTAAATACGATACGCGCGATCGTAAAATTTTAACTATGCGACCAGGCTTGCGGCTTCTTTTTTTTTTCATGCCACTTCCGTTCTTGCAACGAGGACCATTACGAGGTTGGCGTCGGTACGCGAAGGTTACTTCATTAGAAGAAATTAGCCATTTAGGAGCAGCCTGGCTCGACGTAGCAACTGCATATACCTTCATTATTGTATAATCACGAAGATAATTACATACTTACAATATAGCGGTAAAAATTAACGAGTTTAATCAGGGGATTAACAAAACAACGAAATCATTTCTTTTGTTGGTGATGAAGAGTGCTGACCGAGTTTCGTTGAATTCACCTTTACATTTCCTCGGATTACAGGCCGGGTTGTCTAATGAGACGCTTTAGAGATTCATTCAGATGTTTATCTAGCAGTTTAATGAATCGTAAATTGTAAGATACAAGAGGAAATAAAGTCTCAGTTACCGACGAGATCTTTATTCGGATGAATACATAGTATTCCTTACAATGTCGAGGATATAATGCTTTATTATGTAAGTTATTTATTTAACTTACTTATTGTTTTATCCAGTTACATTATTATTGTTTCAGAATCATTCGTACAATATTTTTCTAGCAAATATTATGATTGCAAAAATTAATATGTGTGTTTATGACAATTTTAGTATTATTATTAACATTAAGAAAAATATTTAAAGAATGTGTATCATATGATTTACCATAATCGAGGATTTAACTCTTTGAAGGAACTTTCTACCAAAAGTACTATTGAAAGATCTTGATTTTTAAAGATTTTCTGAATCGCCGAATTCGATTCTGACTTCGGAATACTAAAATCTAAATTTCATAAAAATAATCTGATTTGTGAAACTTGATTTTAGAAAGTTCTTGGTATCGCTATTGAATATAGTTTGAAAATGTAAAATTTCAAAAGGCTAATAACTTAAAAAATTCCAATGAAAGAGAATCTAGTGTCACAAGATACATAAATTAGAGTTTGAAATTTAATTTAGAAATGAATTCTTACTGTTGCATAGCATTGATAAGATTCAAGTAAATCAAAACAGGAAACTTAATGTTACTTTGTAATTAAAAATGCCCTAAAACTAAATTTAATGGTAATCAGATTGTTTTCTTTTAATTTTGTCCACCACATTAAATCTACCATTTCGATTTTTGTTATTTTTAACTTCAAATTAGAATACCGTATTATTAAATTACTCCGGCCAAGTTTCATGAAAATCGAGCGAGCAGTTTACAAAGTAAAAGGGGGTGGTCCCAAACGAGGCCATAAAGGATTAAACCTGATATCTTCAAATTATCTATCGTCTAGCATATCTTGTAACAATTTCTTACAAACTGTAATCAATTATGATAATGACTTGAAAATATTAGCGAAAACGTTAGCATGTTCGCACATTGGATTTGGTGTAAGTCATTTTTCAAAGCATCCCAAAATCTCAGAGATCCGTAATACATTTGCGAAACTACCTGACGATCGCCTCGGTTTACGCCATGTTTTAATATCACACGTTACCGGCAAATAAAACGAGTGACGAGAACGATGATGCACATCCTGCGTTTTCATAAGCCGTGCTGCAGCACCGCCCATCACCTTTCATTTCGCTTAGATAAAAGCACAGAACGGTTACGCTCCGTCTTTCTTCCGGCGATCTTCATCTTCGTTGACTCACAAAGCACTGCAGAGAGGAGACGAAAAGCGAGCATGTGTCCTTAGCAAACATGCTTGGAATAATCTTTTTTATGAACGTTTTAAATTCTTTGAATAATTTTTCAAAATGTTATTTCGATTGAACGACAAATTAGTGTTCTTTTCAAAATTGATAAATTTGTAACAATAAAAACGTTAGGTACAGCTTAATCTTTTGAGAATTGGAGTTTTTTTTAACAAAGTAACTTGTTATCTTGCTAGGAACACGTTTTCCAAAAGATCTTGTTTCCTTGAAAATCTTACTCTCTAATGATTTTCAGAATCGCCGAATTCGATTCTAACCTAAGAATTCTAAAATTCAAATTTCAAAAAAATAATCTGATTATCGTAAAGCTTGGTTTTAGGAAATTCTTGATATCTTTGAGTTTCAATGTAGTCTGATCGAATATTAAGAGAGTAGTAAACCTCGATGAAGGAGAATTTAGTGGCAAAGAGCTTATAATCAAAGTTTGAAAGTCAGTACTGTTTACGTAACATTAACAAGCTTTAAATAAAACAAAATTGGAAACTTGATGTTAGTTCACAATTAAAAACTCCTTAAAATCAAGTTTTGTAATAATCAGGTTAGTTGTTTGAAATTTTTGTTCGTTAAATCCACCATTTTTAATTATTTATATTTGATCTCAGATTTGAATAAAACAATTATCAAATTATCCTATAGGTCAAGTTTCATAAAAATTGAGCGAGTAGTTTATAAAATAAAAGAGGATGACTCTAAATGAGGTCGCCGGTCCACAAAGGGTTAAAGTCTAAGCTCTGCAGCATCAACGTCAGTTAACGTTAACTATGTACTGAAATTTTCTTTCCTTACGTATAATCCATCACGGTCTGAAGTTACGACTAAGGGAGCTATAATTAATTAGAGCTGGTTAATAAAGACCAAAGATTATGTTAAATGAAAATTACAGATATATTTGACGGGAGTATTCTCCTTGACTTAATTTATTGTTCTTTTTTACAAGTTCTTTTATCAAGTTTATTAAATTTTTTGGTTTGAATGAGATTTACTTATCTCTGCTTTCTAAATTATTCAAATATTAAAGAGAAACTTTGTGATTTTGGTACATTTTATTCGCCAACAAATCACGAATAAAACAGAGAAATTACGTATTACAGTATACTGAGAAAAAAGTTTGATATTTGTGATTATAATTACATAGTAGAATAATTACTATTGTTTTCATTTTTATAACCATTGCTGTTATAATGTTAATAATATAATAATTTATAAATCTCTCTCTCTCTCTCTCTATAGAAAAAAAATACATACTTAGCCCCAAAAACAACTATAATTATTTAGATGATCCAACAAAATTGTTTTCAGACTTGTGTGTGTATTTAGTTAAATTTTTAAATACTTGAATAAAATCGTTCTTTCCGTGTAATTAATTATAAAAATGGAGCTCCACTTATTTTTATCATGCAATTAATATAGTAAAAAATACCACTTTTTTCTCAACGTCGAAGAATTAGCATAAATAAGATGATCGAAAATTATACGATACTTCCTCTCTTTCTCTCTCTTCTTCCTTTATCTTCAATTTCGCAGATTATAATCACGAATGGACGCGGAATGAACAAGATGTGGATTCGCACGAATCCCAATAAGATAGCTTCGTTTTCACTTCGGCGGAACTCATTTAAATACTGATGAACGCAGATTATTTTCTTGCCATAACCGCGGCCACTCTCGGCACAATTCCGCTCGCACTACACACATCCCGTTTTCTATCTTCGACCTCTTGTCTCGTCGCTTTTCTGTCTCACGTAATACGGAGTGGCCGATGTTGTTCCGCGCGAGCGACGGACAGTAAATTGATTATCGATTCCGAATAAATTACGCTCATCCTCTCGATCAGTGCTCTCTTACTTCGGACCACGACAGCAACGATGAGAGCTTTTCAAGCACCTAGCTAGGGAAACTCTCTCTCCGCCCTTCTTTTTTATTTAAATCGTCTCGCGCACGTGCGATGTCGGAGACTGGTTTGCAATTGAGGCGATAGGAAGCTATCGATGAAATTACATTTAAGAGCAAAGCGTTTAAAATTAACGACACTGTATTATTGTAAGCGTTAGCTCGCTCAGCATATCATTAAAAGGTAAAGTTAAAAGTTGATATTTAGGATTAGCATTGT